CCAGGACCAATTTATCAGCACTTTTTTTTGTGGCAGAAGCAAAAATAAAAACATCACAAGGCATTCCTTATGTGCATTTTGCAGACCTATGTACCTTATGTGAGAAATAAATATAATGGTGAATATGCATGTCAGAGTGCAGTAAGAGCAGGGCTGCTACAAAAGGGAAAATGAGTGAGAAGCCAATGGTGATCATGGCACAGTGTCCTCACCGACAAGGGCACCGTCCCACCATATCTGAATAGGATGGGTAGAGTAGTGTGCTGGTAACAAGGTCCACTGACAGTCCCAGAAAAAGTGAGGTGATGAACCAGGTCCAGGGTCCATTCCAGGAGTCCAGTTAGGAACAGCAGGAGATGGAGTCAGATACAGGGCTGGAGGCAAGACTACAACATGGGTCCGCTGGAGACAGAACTCAAGGCAAACTACCTAGAAGGTAGGTCAAGATCCATGCAGAAAACAAGGCCAGAGGCAGGACTTGAGACAGGTACACCGACAACATAGTTCAGGCAAGGACTAAATATCCAGGCCTGAGCTTAAATGGAGTGCCTGTAGCAAGGAGCAGAGAGTTGCATGGGTGGGGGTCCAAGGCTGGTCAGAGCAATTAAGGCCCAGTGGTGCACTCAGGGCCCTCACAGTGCAGTCTATAACTTGAGTAAAGATACATCTGAAAATCTGAGACCAAGCCAGGCCATACAATTAGTGTCACAAAGAAAGATGAAGCTTTACTGCACCATGACTTTAGCCACATTTTACTGATGAGCAAGGAAGGTCCACATCAATGCCTAAAAGCTTTGCAGAAGATCTGAAATCCGCCTTGGGGAAGAAAAGCTTACACATTCTAGAACCTCTCTTAGGAAAATGACTCTTTGGAATGAATCATGCAAGGGAAACAGCAAACTACTGCTGCAGAAACCTGGACAGCTGATTTTTCTCAATACCAGCCAGTCATGAAGATGAGGGTAATTCACGTAACTTTGTCAGTGAATGTGAGCTGGTGCTACAACTAAGTGTTTAGTCAATATTCTAAATGCATTTAACGAAGTGAGGAGGACAACACTTTGAATTGATAGTTTCCTCCTAACATAATGAATGAAAAAAACTTCCTTTCTTCTGGATGTTTTAATGCACAGAATTATGTAATCTACAAGTGGGAAGAAATGAGAAATTTAAGGGATCCAGACTGGTAAAACAGAATTTAAAACTGTCATGTGAAACTTAAGTGACATATGAACATATTAAAGCAGCTGGTATTTAGTCTAGTCTGCCATTTTGGGTTCTTATGGGTTTACTGTGTAAGGAAATGGAATTTTCCTTAATTCCTAAGTTTCTACGCTCTTTCTATGCATTGGTTTTACAGCACTGGGATGCCGACATATATCTGTCTCTCACTGCCTTGTATGTTCATGAACATAGTCACTAAACACAGTCAGGACTGGCAGATAAGGAGGTTTAGTGTATTGGAATTTTCTGATATATCTAATCTGGGCAATGTATAGGACTCACCAACTTCTGTCATTCCAATCCAGACTTTCTCGAAAGATTAAAATTAAGTGGTGGAGACAATAGGTACAGATCCCTATGGATCATTGCTAGATTCCTGATTTCAGAATGAGTTGTGATGTCTCTAAAATGCATTCAGCAGAGAGACAGCAGCAGCAGGTAGAATGGTAGTTTCTTGTGTCTTACAGACAATTAAGAGTCTACAAAATTTCATCATAAAGAACACTTAAACTCCTTCAAAAACTATAAGCATGCATCAACCTTTTGTACCTCCTGATAGTTAAATGTTTGTCTGACTCTTTCTTGATAATCCGGAGGCTGGTAACTGTAATGTTCTTCTCATTCAGATTCCCATTGCACCTAAGTCTAACTCCTGTGTTTACTGCTTCCACCTTGGACCCAAGAGAAAGTATTTTTACTTGTTCTCCACATAGCCATTCTTTTAGACAAGATAGACTTAAATTGCTCTTCACAATGTCTTGGAAGTTGGTCAAAGGTCATTATCTTACCCTAATGCATGTATTCATAAAGCCTCATAGTTCATCATCCTAACCTGGAAGAAGAGTAGCCAGAGTTGGTTCTTCTTCCAAAAAGATCTATTCTCCTTGGTTCTTTATACATAAGTCTGTTTTGTAGATTGTCTGGAGCTTTTCTTAGCTACAGTTATAAATCAGGAGAATGCAGGAGAAGTATAAAAATATTCAAAATCTTCAGATGAAACTTTACAAACCCATGCATTTCAAAGCAAATGAAGCAAGAGTCTGAGTAAACCCAAAAGTCACTAGCAGTGTCCAAGATTCCTTCATTTATTGGCAAGATGGCCTGGCTGTGTGAGGTTGGCTGACAACATCAGAAAGTTAAAATGCCTTTTCTTGTACCACCTTCAGAGGAACCCATGAGACTTTCTGGCACTCTCTGAAGCAATCTTGGAATGCCTCCAGACCATCAATAGTGAAAGAGACAGACAGATTCACAGTTTTATCCAGTAAGGATGATGAAAATGGAAGTTGCAAAATACTCTCATCAACTTCAAGAACAAAAGAAAAGATAAGTTAAATGAATTTTCACTGGAAAAAAAAATGTAGTTTGATAATACAGACTGAATGGAAAAATTCAGAGCAAAAAAATCAATATATTCAAAACCTATAAAGCTGCAGGCCAGGATAACATGTCTGAGGATTTACTCTAAGCAAAGATCAAAAAAGAACCTGAGCATTCTGCTATGATTCCTTAGTCAATTATGAGAAAAGGAATGCATGTCAGAAGAATTAAAAAAAGGAACCATCATCAAAGAAATTGAATAAAACAACTAAGAGTCCCAAGGAAATTGTGCAGAGTTACTCTGAAAATTATTATTAAAACTGCAGCTTTCAAGAGCACCATGCTGGAGGGTTTTTTTCCTATTTAATCAGAATTTTGTATTTACATTATTATTAAATAAAGTAACAATGGATAGAACTCATTAAGGGCAACAAGCAGATTAAACAAAAGCAAAACAGTTTTCACTGTGGATGTCTAGGGCAAATATTTAGAACAAAATCAAAAAACAATAAAGTTGAGATCTTGCAGTTATTGTTACTACCCACAACACTGCAAACAGTATAAATGAGAAGGTGGACTTACCTTTGCTATATTTCAAGAACACTGGACAAAGATTTCACTAAACAAACCCTATTCTGGCAAACCCAAAGCAGAAATAAAGAGAGGCCATTCCAGAGGGACCATTCAAAACACAGTAATGGCTGATGCACCAACTTTACAAATCAGCAACTTTAAGAGATTAAAGGTACTGGCCCACCATAAGATTGTTTAGGAATTAATCTCTCCTGTAAGCACCCAACAGTGCAAGGGATGGACTGGATTTGATTGGACAAGACCTATGAACAAAAAAAACCTGAAGTTTTCAGTCTGTGTAACTGTATAGTAGACCTAAGGCTTCAGTGGAGACTTGTTCCAAGTTCAGATAGAGCTTTCCAAACTCAGCCATTTCAAATTTATTTATGTGAAAAACACCTGGTGAACACATTAGGAAAAAGTGAACAGTTTTCTTCCTTATGAGAACCCAAGAATAGATTTTAAAATACAGAAGACTCAATCTCTGGTCTGAGCAATGAGAGAAAATTTCATTTTTAAAAATGGGGGGGGGGGTCCCTCAAAGTTACTAGCAAGTGAAAAATAATGATTTATTTTCTCTATTTCTTCTCCACAACAGTTACGACCATTGATCACTGTGTAATGTGCAACAAACACACACATATACATAATACCTAATAAGCACCCTTAAAATATGTGTCATTAAGGACTTGAATTACTTTTTTGAAGTTTGGCTAATAGAACTCAGTGGACACTAGAATATGACGACTTTGCCAAATTAAATATAGAGCAAGAACATACATAAATTATTCCCCTCTTCCCAGGACATATTCATTTAATTGATTGCCCAGATTTTACACTTTAACTATTTTACCATTCACCTGCTCTACTTATATTAGTATTTAGAAACAAAGAGACAGATAAGTGATCTGTGAAAAGCTTTCTACTTTTTCATTACTCTTCAGCAACACAGCTTGAGCCGCTTATTAGAAAAACATAAGAAGGTAACAGATTCCAACCCCAGCAGTCTCTAGTTTCATTACTTTCTGACATTCAGTGCAGGTAACACAGCAGTGCTTTTGGCAAGAACATATATGCCCCCTATAGGTTTAATGTATTCTTACCACAGAAAGATGGAAATAAATGAAAGGATCATTAAGCATTTCCTAAATAGAAAATTCAGTACTAGAAAAATAATATTACATCTTTCAATAAATATATGTTTACATACACACAAAGTAAATATGAAATTATTCTTTAAAACTTAAACATCCTCCCTGTCCAAACCCCTTTTCTTTTAAACATAATTCTTTTAGCCTGCACAACAGAGATTGCCCCAAGTATTTCCTTTCATGAGCAATGTTCCCTCCCCGCCCCTCTCTCCCTTTGTCCCACAGCTTTCCCAAGTACAACACTGAAAGGTTGTACACTGAAAAAGTGTAGCATTTTATTCTGAGTTTATGATAACATATTATGCAAATCTATAGCACTACATACATGATTTGTAATAATGTTGTTACAATTACATTTGTATTTTAAAAGTTGGATCATAAATTTTACCTCCTTTAGCAGTAATGACATGCTGGTTTGGAAATACCATTAGCATTCAGTTCAATATACTATTTTATATACACAATTAGATCTACAAAGGTAGGTAAGACATGGGTGATAAATCTTGACCATTTAATGGCTTCCACATAACTAACTACAACTGAGGAACCAGCATTTTGTTTGGTCTCTTAAAATTAGTAAATTCCAATTAGCCTTTAATTTTCTTTTTTAAAGGCCTGACTGTAGTTCTGATTCCACATCCAAATTTCTACTGGTATATCACAGCAAGTATGACAATTTTGAATAAAGATAAAGCATGGCTTTTTATTCCGAGGTACCTAATTCAGCCTTACCTTAGTGTTCTTAAATCCCACAGTTTGATGCCATCACCTGCAGCTGTGGTCATGAAAAGATTGTAAGCTTCAGGTTGCTGAGTGCTGAATGATGACCCCTGTAAAATATGAAATCAGTTTCAGGTAACTGTTCTCATGGTGCTAAATATTTATAGAATCATAGAATCATAGAATATCTCAAGTTGGAAGGGACCCATAGGGATCATTGAGTCCAACTCCCTACTTCTCGCAGGACTACCTAAAACTAAACCATATGACTAAGAGCGTTGTTCAGACGCTCCTTGAATTCTGACAGGCTTGGTGCCGTGACCACTTCCCTGGGGAGTCTGTTCCAGTGACTGACCACCCTCTCGGTGAAGAATTTAGTCCATTCAAAAAATAAACAATAAATGTTTGTTAGGTTATGTGATAAAAAGCTTGTCTGCACGCACACAAAGGAGCACAGAGGAAAGTTGGCGTGTGGAGGAACCCCCATAACACAGTCAGAGAAATGGAGCACTGCTTCAGCTCCTCTCAGTGTTGTCCCAGGACAGCCGTGAGCCATTTGGTCCAGGGGTGACATCCACCATGATGAGTCAACAGGAAAGGCTCTCTGGGTCATCTCACAGATTGATGGGGATTACTACTTATCAGGGTATGGGATCCATTATGGGATGCAGGGGAAGATCATTTTGTCATTGCACAAGACATTATGGGATGTTTAGCGGAGGAAATAAGGGTGGGGAAAGGGAAGGATCAAAGTGGTTTGTGGAAGAACAAGTGGGGGAAAATAGAGGGGAAAGGGAATAAAAGGAGCCGGTTGTGTGTAAACAGACTGCTGGCCAGTGCATTTGGCCGTGCCCTGCAACTGATCAGCACAGTCTTTCTTGTCTTCCTGTTAAACTCCATTTCTAACTATTTTCCTGGGTGAAGGGACTCTCTACTCTATCAGCATACATATATATGAAGGTCTAAGAGTCAGCAACTGGATAGGGGACCACGAGAGGCCTGTGTGTCCTGGAGTGACTGAGGGTCTGGATGCCACCAACTGGAGCGGGACCATAGATCAGACAGCCTGTTGCTCTGAGTGCCAAAAACTGGAGAGAATGGAGTGAGTGAAATTAAATGCCAGCAACTAAAGTTGGACCAAGTGTCTGTGGTCCAAACAACTGGAGCAAGTGAGGGGCAAGTGAGGATGCATTAGCCAGTATGTGATCATTAGCAAACTTCAAGCTGGATGAGTCAGCAAGTAGGTGAAGTGGCTTGGGAGCCAGGTATGTGTGTGTGTCTTGGGGAATGAAGCATCTGGAGGAGCCGGCTACCAGAAGAGCCAGGGTCCAGGCCAGCTGCCAGAGACACATGGGTTCACATGCCCAGGTGCCAGCAGCTGGGGACTGCAGAGATCCAAGGCCAGTTACTGCATTGTTTGTGTCTAAGCCCAGCTTCTGGAGCGATACACATTGTATTTATGTATACATTTCCCACTAATGGACCTTCATCCCAATCAGCCAAAGAGGGGAAGAGGATGAGGCTGTTGGTGATGTCTGTGTTTGTGTGAGTGCTGAGTGTTTCTGTCTCTGTTGATCTGTATGGCCAGCTGCGTGTATATGTATATATGTGCCAACTGGGTATCCAAGCTCAGCCTCACTACTGGTTGGACCCATAGCAGCCTCAACTCCTTTGGGTTACTGGATTCAGCTACTCCTAACAATATTTTATCAGAACTTCAGAAGTATTATTTGGCTTTGTGTAGCCAACAAGATTCAGTTCACACAAACTTCCTGGACCTATCCTATATGGTTACTATTAATCATTTCTTCAGAAGGTGGCCCTTCAAAAACTATCATTCCAAAAGCCTCTCCCTATAATGTGCCCTACCTTAAGCTCACATCTGTTTGCAGTCATTACAAGGTCTTCAAGGAAAGGTTGAGGTTACCATCATCAAAACCCTTTAAAAGCAGTAAGACCTCAATACTTTCCCAGATCCTTAAAGGAAGGTTCACATTATATTTTCTATCTTCGTTCAAGACTTTCTTATTACTGGGGGGCAGCAAACCATACCAGGCACTAATATTGCTTAGTTTCACGTCGAGGAAGTTTCATGTTGTCAAGACAAACTAAATATTTTATACTTTTTCATAGATGTACCCAAAATATTGATCAATTATCCAAATGTGAAATGGTTTATGGCCATTCACTAGCAAATCATAAATTCCACCAGCTAATTAGAAGACTATCATTCAGAGAATGACTATTCAGTTAAAAATATGTGCACATTAAAGCAGAATATATATATATAATGCAAGCTGGGAACATTCTAGCAATTTCTAGTTTAAAGTTACTTTTTTCAGATTGTTCAATATAATTTTCATCTACATGAGAAACAAGAAAAGAACAAATATAAAACCTTATGGAATTAACTATCTTGACAAAGTCAAACAACATAATACAGACAACCAGAGTAATCCAACATTTAATTATAAGCCATGTTTAGCCCTGGCATAAGTGGGCACACTTTCTATTGACTTCAGTAGCAACCACATTCATTCATAGCAGGACTGATTTTGGCTTTGCATTTTTAAATAATTAAATCCAGTCTATCTTTAAACCTCTGATTTTTTAACATCCACATTGGCAAATCCTGGCCTTTTTGCTGGCTACAAACTTCTTTCTCCAGAGAACTAAATATAAACAGTTAAAACTCCTTCTTTGCTTTCCCCACCATTCACATTCTTGATTTGGCTGAATACATCACAGAAACCTCAAGGCCATTTCCTGCAGTCAGTGCTTGACTGCCAGGAATCTTCTATTTGTTATGAAAACTGGCGTATAGCTGGAAAATGCTCTAGTATTTAGTCAATGGAATTCCCCAAACGGCAAGACAAAGTGGGGCACCTGGCATTAAAAAGACTGTAGGAGCTTTCTCTTTTTTTGCTTTAAGCAGGTTTCCTTCCTAAACTAAGGATTACCAGAGTCTGCTCTACCAGATGAACTAAAATGCACTGCGCAACAAATTTCCCATCAAAGTCTACACATTCTCACATTAGCTGTGTTTTTTATTAACTACAAAAAAAGAGTAATTGTAAAAGAGAAAGACAGTAGTTGTCCAAAGGATAGTATTCATTAAAAGTTACAGAGCACCTTTTCTTTTTCTGTTTTTGAAACTTTTACTCACCATCCCCCCTTTCTTCAGTCAGTAATGATCATAGAGTCCAATATAAAAAGTTCTACAGACACATACACATTTACTTCATGCACTACTCCTTTACTTTAGAATACACTAACAGTAATACAGGTAAGAAGAAGTGTAATCCCTTTGTTCCTCCCCTGCCCTGACATTTTGTCAGTAATATACTTTACTAATATAAAGCGCTTTACTAATATAAAGCTATATTTGTATCTTCAAACTACATTTGCTACTGAATATTGCTGTAGAAGACAAGAAAACATATGCTAGCTGGGACAATATGCAAGCTGAATTTTATTTATCCCTTTGTGTTTTTATAGTCCATTAATTTATGATAATCTATAATTTATGAGAATCTAATGCAAAAAGTAGCATATTCCAACATACTCTTCAAACTATATTCTTTCATTCTGACAGACAAATCACTTGCCTATGCCCCATCATCTTCCTCATCCACTACTGTAATCCCTTCTCAGCTTCTCTCTAGACTAACTACAGTGCAACTTCCACATAAAATTTGGCCCCAAGAAGGACATGGTTCAACAGACTCCCTATCATCTCATTCACTAATTCCTATGAACATCACTGATATCATCCAAACAGTGCAGCTGACTTTTGCTAAAGGCATCAATCAATAGATGTCTCGGAAAACACTCCACATCTTCCAGGCAAGCACATACCTTCAGACAGGTTTGTCACTATGGCTAGGAAAAAGTTAACTGACTGAAACTTCTGAGTTTCCTATTACATTTTTCAGCCTTCACATCATGTACATTTCCTAATTAATGGACCAACGAATTTTGAAACAAAAGGGCCTGGGCAGAGAACTAGAAACTGTGATGTTTCTCTGAAAATTAATGTAATCTATAACTGTGTTTGCTAGCAGAACATAATATCATCCAAATATTTGTGGTTGATACTAATAGATTCCTGTTCAAAGAATATGTTTTGCAGCACTACAAACGTACTGCTAACTCTAAAGCTCTGAATCTTTGTGGTCTGATCTCAAATTGCCATCTATTTCTGTATCTCAGAGGTTCCTAAACTTTAAGACAGGAACACAATTTTGATATTTCAGTCAATTCATTTTACTACGTTTCTTAAAAGTTAGTATGCAAAGCAATGGACCGTGAAAAGTCACATAATACTTTGATAATCATTAATAAGCAGTTTTCATTAGGTGATCTTATGTATCAAACCAAAATCGTCAAGTTGGAAATCACTGATTGATAAAACAACTTACTGCCAGTGTAAATCCATTATTGGCAGCTTAGGATATTCGCCTTGTCAGGCTTGGTATAATATGGCTAAGGACTACTTATCAGAGTGAGGTGAAGTTACTACAGCCAGAAGAGCGACATTTGCTCATTGCCTCAGAAGGAGCTTAATGACATCACTTGGGTCTAGTAACACCCTGTGCTAAAATATCATAAGCAGTTCTGAGAGCAGGGTCTGGAAACCAGACACAGGTTCAGGGAAAAGAGTGAAGGGTCCCTCAACACCAGCCTATCACTGAAAAGTGGGAGATTTCCACCAGTTTCCTCAGGCTGAGGAGAACAATGAACCTCTTTCCCTCAGCTCCTAAGCAAACACGGAAAATTAAGCTATTACATGAACCTGCAGCAGCATCACCACATCATCTTCACAGGACCATGTATTTAGCTCAGTTTCCTGATGAAATGATGCTTATGCAACTGTACTGTCTGCTGATTCCCATCAAGAATTTTTTTAACCTGTTTCACAATTTAAATCCAATCTGACAGAGAGATAAAGGTCTTATGATAATTACGTTTCCACAAGATACATGTAAATGACTAATTAGCAGATGCAAATTCAAACCAGCACAGCCATTAAGGAAAGTGATTTTGTTTGACAAGCCATTAACTGGCCAACACAAGAGTAATTTGGAACAGGCATGCAGTATGGCACACC